CTCTACCTCTCTCCCCGTCCGCCGACGTTCCTCCCCTTCCCTCTCTGCCCAAGCCCAAACCGATGGCCGAGCGATTTCCCGGCGACGCGGCGGCGGCCAACGGCTTCGGCCGCCGCTCGCTCCACGAGTGGGAGGCGTGCCTCTTCTTCGAGGCGAACATCCCGGCGCCACCGGACATGCGCGCGCGGGCCGACGGGGTGAAGGCTCAGCAACGGGGGCGTCCCCATCCCCCCGGTGCCTGACGTCGACGCACGTCCCGCCATCTTCGTCGCCGAGGTCGACCGCATGCGGGCGTCCCTCACGGAGGAGCAGCGTGCCCTGCCCCAGTACACCGCCGACAACCACGCGTCATGGGCGGCGTACTTCCAGCGCCGGCAGGCGCAGCGGCTGGCGTCCACCAACGGGGCGCCGGTGGTGGGGGGCACCAAGAACAGTGAGGGGCGCCGCCTATGGTGGGGCGCCCCCAGCCGCACCCTCCACGAGGTACTCTGGCACCTCGAGGACGGCAATGACCCGCCGCTGGCATACCCTGCCGCGGCGGCCGTCCCGGTCCCCCGCCGGAGCGCCGGGCAATGGATGCCCAGGAGGTTCGGCTCCTCTCACTCCTCCTCCCGCTCCTCTTCCCATTCCCAGCCCGCAGCGGAGACGTCGCTCGGCCAGCGTACCCGCAGCGCAGGCATCGTCATCGACGAGGGCGGTAGGCGCGCCTCCTCCTCGGCTCCTCCGCGCTACGTCAAGCCAAAGACGGAGCCGGGGCTCGCCGCCATGAAGACGGAGCCCGGGCTCGCCGGCAGCGTCAACGAGGAGCTCGACGACGCGGCGGCCCTGAAGTAGGCGCGTGAAGACTGGGCGTGCACGGAGCTGGCGCGCCAGTGCCGCGCCTACGAGCAGTTCGCCGCTCGGCGCCGTGGCTGCGACGAGGGAGGCGTCGTCGTCCTCGACGACAGCGATGATGACGCGCCGCCGCCACCGGTCCGCCAGGGCGACGCAGGGCAGGGGTCCAGCACGGGCGGCCGCGTCAAGGAGGAGAAGGCCGACGACGACGATGGCGAGGATGGCGGCAACGTCGGCGACTTCACCGCGCTCAGCGATTTCTTCGCCCCTTAGCTGTGTTTTTTTTAATAACTTATGTAATGTCGAGTATGTCGAATATATGTCCCGTTTGCCGAACTCAGCCGAATATTTTGTCCAATTTGCCAAACTTTGCCGAATTTCATTTAAAAAAAACACCCGCGCCTGGGGGCGACCCTGGTACCGGCGGTTGGAGACCCGCTCGCCCCCACGTTGATTTTGGCGCCGGCTCGCCCTCAGACGATGATTTTACGCGCCCCATGGAAGGCCAACAGCTGGAGATGCTCTTGGGTGGTCGAGAGAGTTGCTTGGCGTGTGTTGGGTCGTTCTTCCCGGTCCGGTGCGCGGCTCGAGCTGTGGTGTCTCGGCGTTTCACGTACCCGGTCCACTGTTCTCTGCTCGTGCCAGCCATATGTTTGATTTGCATGTGCAACTGGGCACAGGACCGCTCAAATGCTTGTGTGCCCGGGTGGGAGTGTGAGGGGTTGCCTGATCGGTCATGTAGGCAGGGGCGGAGCTACGTACAGCTAGCCGGTGTCACTGGCACCGGATGCAATTTGCACTTACTTATTGGTTTAGTGTGTAGGCCATTCAATTCTTTCATATGTAGGCATGTGTTTTTCTATGTGGACACCGGGTAGTTTTAAGTCTGGATCCGCCCCATGTAGGTTCCTCTTGTGCTCAGTTGGTTGGCGTGGTATGGGACGTCTAACATGGGTTTCCATGCGTTGGATAAAAGGGTGTCATGTGCCCGGTCATTTGGTACCGCCTCTCATATCCTTTTCTTCTTCTTCTTGCAATGGCTCCCCCATTTGATCCATATCCAGCAAGCACAGCAGGTTCCCCTCGCTTCGCTCCCCTCAAATGGAAGGGGTTCCGTGAGCCTATCCATTGGTCCTCCTGTGGGTCGGTGTGAGCGCCGTGTCCATCGTCTCGCGCTCAAGGTAGGTGAGGACAGAGGGAAGTCGAGGGCACCCAACGACTGTTTTCGGTTCTGCCGGGAAATGTCCGGGACGAGGTTGCGGTTACCGTGGCATGGTCTCTCGGGGCATGTGTCGTCTCCCGGGGCATGATAATCAAGGTCCGACCCAAACGGACTATGAATTGGGGAATCCAACTTGCCCTCCATTTAAAGTTGGGACAACATCAAATTCCAATCCGAGCAAGAGGTCCGGCATTCTCAATTTTTGAGGATATCTTGTTGGTCGAAGCTTGGTTGGCCACCACAACGAATTCAATATGCGGCACCGAGCAAAAGGGGAACACGTATTGGGATGATTTGATTTGCTTTGTCGTATTTGTTTCGAACTGTTGAATTGGGATGATTTGTACCGTATAATCGACGTGCATGGATTTGAGAACCCGCATTCTATCGTATTCCAAGCAAGTTTACACTCCGGCTTCCGCTTACCGAATGCTTTTCAAAGGTGTGATCTGTGTGGCTTATGCGCGGTGGATTTGGAAGTGTTGGGCACCTCTCACCTGTAAGATCTTCATGTGGCTCGCTATTCAACATAGAATATGGACATCCGATCGGAGGCTTCGGCATGGGTTATAGGACAATCCCTCGCCTTGCTACCTGTGTGACCAGGAGGAAGACAACGTGGATCATCTACTCGTCCAGTGCGTTTATTCGCGTCAAGTACGGCACATGATCTTGTCCAGCGTGAGGGTTGCGCCGGCCTTAGCGCCGGTGGCGAACGACAATTTGGAATATTGGTGGGGAAGCACCCGAAAACAGCTTGACAAGGAGAACCGCAAAGCTTTTGATAGCTTGGTGATACTGGTGTGTTGGCATTTATGGAAGCAAAGGAATGATCGTGTTTTCCGCTCGATGACTCCACCAACGTCGATTGCCGATCTTGTAATTAAGATTCTTGATGAGCTGCGCATGTGGGCGACAGCAGGAGGGAGTGAAGTTGAAACCATTTTGTGAGGAGTTAACATAGTGCGTGGAGTTGGAGTTTGGCGTGGACTCGGTCGATTTGTGACTGTTGGCTACGCATGTAACACTCTTATATATTTTTTTCCTCTTTTTTATAAAGCTAAGGTACTCTTGAAGGAAAAAAGAGAATCTGTATTTTTTTTTTTTAGGATGAATCCGTATTTGAGATGTGTTGATGTGCAGCAGCCGAAATAAGGGGCCGACCGGCGCTGTCTGCAGACGTGTCCAACTTGCCTCGTTCCGGAACAAAAATTGACAGAGACGTGCTGCAAATTTTACAAGCAATCCCCTGCTTGTGACGTTGTCAGTGAACCAGTCAAATCTTACGCCACGTTGGCGGAATACAGAGCAGAAGCGTACACGGTCACCGTAAGCGTTCACAGATGAGACTTTTGTATTCGTAATCTAGGTATTTCTGATGAGACTTGTGTAATCGTAGTCTAGGTATTTCCGAGTCCAGTGACCAATGTAAATTTCGGGGATGAGTAAAGTGACCACGTTTGAACTACACTCCAGTATGTACGAGCTACTCAATTTGATGCACCGTGGGATCGAGTAGACTGCTCACAAGGGGCAGCAATAGTGCATCGCCTCGTTTACAGTTGTTCGAGTTTCAGATGCATGCTTACAAGTACAGTACTAGTAGTACCAAGTAATATCAGAGAAGAGATGGTAACTAGTAAAAGCTTTCCACTCACAGTATGCCATCTTCACAATTCTCGTTGTATAAATTGTATAATGGGAATCCAAGTATACACAGTATAGAAGAGCAATCAACATCCCTGTTTGTGTTTGGGCAAGTGGCCAAACCGGCCATAAGCAGTGGTACCGCCGCTACTCCTAAAATAGTGGCATCGTTTCTGAATCAGAAGCTAATGTCTTTTATCTCCGAAGTAGAGAATGTGCGGTGGCGTCTCACTGAGCGCTTCTAAGCGTCGGGTCGCTTATATAAACTCTTGCTCCGCCTCGTTCCCGCCAGTAGCAGCACCCTGTTGCAACGGGTTTCTCAAATACGGCGACTCTTTGTACTTGGCATACTCCGGCAAATCTAGGGCGTTCTCTGCGATTCTCCCGTCCTCATGAATCCTCTCTATCAAGCTCTCGAGCGAAGGAAAGTTTGCCTGAGCATTTCAAAAGAAGTTAGTGTTACTAGCTATAGTTAGTAAAAACAGAACCTCTTTTTTGCCAGTAAAAATGTCATTTGGTTCTCAGTTACCTCAGGTCGTATGTACCCAACGATAACAAGGCGCAGCTCCTCTCCATAGAAGTCCTCATCAAAACCATGAAGCAACCATGGTTCCTGAAATCAATGCCTCTTAGAGCAAAATAATACAGCTAAACAAGGAACGGCCTGTGTAAAGAGCACTCACGATTGTCTTCTCTGTGTTATCAAAATAAGGGTTCCAGCCGATGCTCATGACCATCTTGTATATGCCTCGCTTCGGAAGTCCAGCCCACCCAAAGTATACACCTGATGTATGATCCGACAGTATGTCGGAAAAGTTTTCTGCAGCCAAGTTCGCTACAAGACAGGTAAACAATTATCAGTGACCAAGAAGAAGAATTGAGCGTGCTACTTAGTACGAGTACTAAGAAAACCAAAAGGGGGAACTGGTAGGGTGTATATTTTAATTTCAAAAGGATACATTTCACCCAAGATGGGATAAATTTTCCAGAGTTTCAAAAGTGTTCTTTTTTATCATGTGAAACTAGTTTCCCTATGACATTTCTATATATCAGAAGAGTGCCAGAAGAGTGCCGCGGCCCTGATCCGAGGCGACACCGATGACGCTGCCCTTGTCGCCGAGCACCTGGGGTGCCCCATCGTCGACTTCCCGATCACTTACTTGGGCATCCCTCTCACGCTGCGTCGCCCCACCGCCGCCCAGCTACAGCCTGTCGTCGACAAGGTGGCCGGGCAGCTGCCCTCCTGGAAAGCCTGGCTCATGAACAAGGCTGGCCAGCTGGCCCTTGTCAAGGCCGTCCTGAGCGCAATCCCCATCCACCAGCTCCTCGTGCTTGCGCCGCCAAAAAAGACCCTCAAGCTACTCGAGAAGATGGAGCGAGGTTTCCTTTGGGCTGGCCACGCCGATGCCAATGGTGGCAACTGCCATGTCAACTGGAGGCGTGTATGTCGCCCAATCCAGCTCGGTGGCCTTGGCGTGCACGACCTCGAGCGCACCGGTTTCGCCCTGCGCACGCACTGGCTTTGGCTCAGCCGCGACGGCGATGAGAGGGCGTGGCATGGCCTCGACCTGCAGTTCTCGCACGAGGAGCGGGCTTTCTTCTTCGCGTCCACAACCATGATGATCGGGAATGGGCTGCGCGCCCTCTTTTGGGAGGACCATTGGATCAATGGCCGCGCCGTTAGCGAGATCGCGCCTCTCCTCTATGCTTGCATCCCCAAACGACGACGCAAGTCCAGAACCGTCGCCGACGGCCTCCACGCAAACCAATGGGCTACCGACATCCAGGGCACGGTTGGCATCCCGGAGATCGGTGAATACCTCTGCCTCTGGCACCTGATTGCCCAAACCAATCTCAGCGACGCGCCAGACCGCCTTTGTTGGAAGTGGACCGAGAATGGAGCGTACTCGGCCAAGTCTGCCTACCTCGCCACCTTCCACGGTTCCACCCATTGCCAGGCCTGGAGGCTTACTTGGAAGTGCTGGGCGCCACCACGGGTGCGCTTCTTCCACTGGCTTGCGAACCTCGACTGCTGCTGGACTGCCGACCGCCTCGCGCGCCGTAACCTGCCTCACCCACCCTGCTGTCCGCTATGCGATCAGGCCCCAGAGACACTGCACCACCTTCTCCTGGGATGCCCCTTCGCTCGTCAGGTGTGGCATGAGATCCTCTCGTGGCTGCGCCTCCCTTGTCCGCCACCCAACAACGACGCCACGCTTCACGACTGGTGGCGCTTGGCTAAACGGAACACGCCCAAGCCGATGCACAAAGGCCTCGCCTCCGCCACTCTGCTCGTGCCATGGATGATTCGCAATGGCTGCGTTTTCGAGAGAGACCGCCCTTCGGTCACCTCCCTGATCGCAACGATCAAGGCCGAGGCTGCTCTTTGGACCAGAGCAGGGGCCCTTGGCCTCCGCGTCATCCTGCCCCAAACCTGGGATGTTCACTAAAGCCCTTGTATTTGCCTAGCAACTCGCCTCCTAGGAGGATTGTAACAAACTCCTTCTTTTCAATACAATGAAACACAAATCTTCTGCGTTTTCTCGAAAAAAAATTAAGTTGACGCACACATATTTAATCTGAGTCATCAAGTAGACCTACCAAAGGTGTCTTATCGTAAAATTAAAGGGGATAAGTCTAAGTATAAACCAAAAACTTAGTGTTCCTAAACAACACACAGTTCAGTTAGTGTCGGCAGGCGTGTGCAGAACATGCGCATGACATCGTGGACGGATAACGTCCTTGTGCTAGTTCGGGGATGGGGCACGAAGGTGTGGACCTACGCTACTGAAATACGCAGAAATGGACACGATGATTTACCGAGGTTTGGGTCGCATGGTTGCGTAATACCCTACTCCTGCTTTTTGGTGTGTTTATGTGGGTGGATTGAGAGCTACAAGTCCTTCTCGGGAACGGGGTTCTTCTACCAAGTGTCCAACCTTTTTCTACTTTCGCCCGGCCCTCCTTTTATAGATCAAGGGGTACAACAATGGCGTACTACCTCCGTCCTGGTTTATTGGTCCCCTTAGTATTTTGTGCCAAACTTTGACCATAGATTTAACTAAGAAAATAATAATGCATGTCACAAAAAATTATATCTTGGATTCGTATTTGAACATAGTTTTTTCATTGATATAATTTTTGGCTACATGCATTAACATTTTGTTAGTTAATCTAAGGTCAAAATTTGGCACGAAATGCGAAGGGGACCAATAAACTAGGACGGAGGTAGTAGTTGCTAAGGAAATGCCCTGAGCCGACAGGGTAGGTGAGCACATTAAATGCGCGGTGATGTGTCATCCCCTTGTATCTTCCGGGAGCGAATCCAAATCTTGTCTCCACCACCCCTGGCCCTGGGGATGTTTCACCCCAACGGTGCCACGTGACGCCACAGGTGTCGCGCTTCCTGCAGGGGGCATGGTGAATCACCCATGGTGGCTGACGCACCTCCACCGCCCAGTCTGCATGGGTGTAACGTGTCATACAGCCCCTGACGAGGCAGGTCTGTCTTGCCACGCATGAAGTGGATGGGTTATGGTGCCTTCGGTGGTAAGAAAACGCAGCCGTTGCCGGAGGTTTCGTTCCCGGGCCTTGAGTCTTCGATAGTTCTGGCCAAGGAGGGATCTACCTGTGGTCCGCATGTGGTTGACCTCGTGGACCAACTGTTCACGGTACCGACAGTTAGGTGCTCACAAACCAGCTTCAAATGATTGATGTATCTCAAAAACACACAACGCCTATTCTACAGGCATGGGTTTCTCTAGCTACTTTTCTAGTAACGCAAAACACAGAACTGGTATTTGGAAGTAGGCCAGCTAGCTGGGCAACATCTGAAATAGTCTATCAATGAACAAAATTAATAACACAGTATCATGAAAAAAACATTTATAGAAGTGATAGCATGTGAAGTCGGTGAATTGTTCTAGACATTTAGGTTTGAAAACTTGCTAGTGAAATCTTTAATTATATAATATGTTCCACGATACCTGTTGGTATTCCTAGTACTTTAGAACCACGGCCAAATCCTTTGATCACAGGTCCACCAATAAACCATGGGTCTATTGGTAAGGTACCTTCAATCCCTGGGCAAAAAATTGATGAACAGTAAGTTGAATATGTCCATATTGTTCTAAGATAATGATAAACAGATAGTCCCAAGAGTTAGAGCATACAATCATTGAAGGGTCGCAAACCCCATTTTTCAGGCCTTAAGTCGAGGAGGGAGTTGATAATCTCATCAGCTGAACTGAATTCATCGGTCCTTTTGGGTACTGAAGGGACAGCTATGACATGCATTCCTGCAGCTTTGCCAGCCGTAACACCTGGCCTGGCACAATCATTAATTGAAAATGTTAAGCTAATATGGTTACTAAAACACTCCACGCTAAAATATAAGTTTGGAACCAGTAATGTGAGTGTAGATATGGTGGATGTAAACATAATATCTACATAAATATATGGAACAGCTATGCATCTGCAATTCTGCATAATTCAAAATTCTGTGCTGTGCACATTAGCATAGCTTTCTAATTAGTGTATTATTAAGTAAATTCATCAAGTTGTACCACTGTAAGCTATTATGATGTGGAAGATCATTCATGTCAGAATTTATCTGTCAAAAGGACTGACATTGTTCTTTTACAACATAAAGCAAGAATAACATTTCCTGACATTCACAAAATCTATCAGATGGTTACTGAAGGTATGTTTTTATTGCTATGTAGCTGGAGACGAGAACCAAACTTCCATGCCAATTCAAGCATATCCAAACATGAATTTCTGTTCCATCAAAAAGTGCATGGTGTTCCACTGAAAACATCTATGTCTATATTATTACATAACCAAGGCAGAACTTACACGGAATCCTCAATTACTAGGCAATTTGAAGGATCAGCATTCATTCTTTTTGCAGCTTCCAGAAATCTTGAGTATCACCACACCAGCAGAACAGGAGTAACTAAATGAGATCAGTTTGATAAATCTATAGGGTATCAGTAATGAAAACATTATATAGCACATTGCCTTACATATCTGGGGATGGCTTTCCTGACTCTACTTCATCAGCACCAACAATTGCAGAGAAATACTCTTTCCATCCTATACATCATAAGAGTAAACTAAGTACTGTATCATTCCACCAAATACAAAGAAGGACACGAAAAAATCCAGGTATCCCTAAAGCATGGAAAAATGGAAAAGGATACCTTGATGGCACGAGATTTTGGATTCAATGTTTGATCTTGAAGAGTTGGAAGCTAAAGCAGCTGGCACCCTGCTGCTCTTCAAATGTTTTATTAACCGATTAGCTCCAGGAAGAGCTTTTATGTTGCCCCATCTGCAATATGAAATTTAATATGCTACTCATATATCTGAAGGAATACAGCCGCAAGTGAAAATTACACGGGCCAGTTTTTTTTCAAGAAAAATAGTGCACATTACAGCATGAGAAAGCTGTAGTAGTTCTATCATCATGCCCAATACCAGTCACAACCTTACGACAAGTTATTGTAAGAAAATCTTTACAAATGATCTCATTAGACACAAATCCTTTTCATTTCTATTAAAGTACTTTCTGCACTATACCCAAAATTCACTTTACTGTTTAAATTGCATCAAAGGAGCGTGACCAAAGAACTAACTTAATTCTGCTGCTGATTTACAGAAATTCTTCTGCAGTGACTTGCCAAGTGCACTGTTCAATCTAAAAGCATACCAGACATACACAATGAAGCCTATTTGGGTTTGAACCCGCCTTATGGTATACCAGATGCTTGCTTCTAGATGTAGTACCATAATTTAAGTATGTACTGATAAAACAGAGAGAGATATTGAAATCAACCATATATATAAATCGCATTGTTACTCATAACTTAAAAAGACTGAAATAAACAATCTACTTTATCAAGCGAATGGCCTGATGCAGCCACAAAATGTATAAATTTTCCACTACAGTAAGATGGTAATATGCATTTTCCGAAACATAGACAAGTATGAAGAGGCTCAGTGAGATTACTGCTCGCTGAACATTGGATTAATCAAGGAGAGGAACTCTTCGGTGGAGTAAGGGAGTCCGTAATCTTCTAAAACAACAGCTGCAGCTTCATAAGGTGTCTTTCCAACAAATTTGTGAGCTTTCTTGCTATCCCACTTTTTCCCATTTTTAACAAGAAATGGTTTCAGCACCTGGCTTACAATGCAATCTGCCAAATGGTACGACCAAGGTAAGCAGGAATGGGTATTCGGCATTTATTTAACTCGGAAAGATCAAACAATGGAGGAAATTTTTGGAATTCACGGTCACCTGTGTTTAAGAGGGTACCATCCAAATCAAGAATGACATGGGAAATAAGGCGAGTAATGGGCTTTGGTGCTGCCATTTCCAAGGACGGATTAGCTAAATGCAGCAAGAGACAAATTATTTGGGTAGCCCAACCTGACATGTAGCAAAAACTATTCAGTCACACACCAAATTAGTGATACTAAATCATAAAGTTAGTTAATCCGGCAATGTTTTTCTGATGATTTAATATATGCATATAATTACTTATTACAAGTAGGAGTGAAAAGCAGTAGCCCATCCTATCCTTGGTTTTTGAACCTGAGACTATTTTTTCCAAAGTTGTGATGGTACAGACTACGGACCGCTATTTACAGGAGCATAGAAAATTCGTTTGGCACTAGTGTTTGGCTGGGCTGACTTATGTAATCACCTCCCGGTAAGTGTGCCGGGTGTATGAAGGCCAGTGTGATTTTGTTAGTCGCTGGATGAAAACAACCTTACCTCGATGGCCAAAGACTGGGACGGGGTGAAGACAGCAGGAACACGATGTCCCGGTGAGATAGAACGGGAACGGCGACGCGCGTGAGAGGCGGGAGGAGGGGGTGAGGTGGGGTGGGGGTGGAGGCGTGATTGAGGCGCCCGCGGTGACTCTTACGGCGCGGCGGCAGCCCTAGAGCCGCGCTTTCCCTCTAGTGCGGCTGGGAATTTCTTGATTTCAACCTCCGCCGCTGGCCGGCCGGAGCAGAACCGATCCGGATAGGCTTATAGCGTTCCCTTGCACACGAAAAGGCCGATCTGTACACTTGGATTTGGAAGTGATAAGAAAAAGAAAGGATTATACGCCGCGAGGACGCGTACGTGCGCGGCGAAGAGACGACTTGGGTACTGCTAAGTTTACTGAAGGAGAAAACGATGATGGAGATGGGGAGCAGACGAAGGAAAAACCTGATGATGATGCTACAGTTAGTAATCAAGACCGGCTAAATTTGAGAAAGGGAATGGGAGTTTAAGAGCAACTACAATGGAGTGACCCAAATGGACACGGTTTTTGTCTGTTTTCATCCGTTTGGGTCGCTCGTCCGCGCAGCGGACATGCCGTGGACACGTGCCGACGGAGGATGTATCCAACGCGGGACACAAATGCAGACACACGCTAACGGAGCCCCTGCTTGCCCCGTCTTCTCCAACTAGCGGCGCCAGCGCCGCCATGCCCCTCCTCGCGCGGCCCCTTCATCACTCCCTCTCGCGCCATCGTTCCTCTCCGCCTCCCACTCACGAGATCCAGCCGCCGCACGGCATGAGATCCAGCTGACGCACGGCGCGAGATCCAGCCGCCACCGCACGGCGCGAGATCCAGTCGTCGCCGGTGCAGGACGCGAGCTCGAGCCGCGGCCGCACAACGTGAGCTCTAGTCGCCGCCGCCGCACGACGCGAGCTCTAGCCGCCGCCGCACGACGCGAGCTCTAGCCACCGCCGCACGACGCGAGATCCAGTCGCCGCCGTCGCACGACACGAGCTCTAGCCCCGTGGGCGACAGAATGACGGTGTGCAGGTGGCGCCGGTGAGCATCCTGCGTCGGCGGCCTCGCCGGTGAGCGCGACGGATGGCTGCGCCAGTGGCCTCTCTACTTGTTGCGGCGGTCGTGGAGTTGCCCAGCTCGTGCCCAGTCACTGGTACGTGGGACCAGGGGGAACACCAGGGCGGACACGAACGATGGTAGCGAACGGTGGGAGCGTTCGCTTCTGTCCGCTTCGTCCCCATTTGTTCCCAGATTTGGGCTAAGTTTGTGTCGGGGACGGACAACAAGCGAACATGTGCGTCCGTTTGGGTCATCCCGTTGGGCCAAGTTTTATGTCCGGATGACCCAAACGGACAAAATGGGTCACCCCATTGGAGTTGCTCTAATGTACGGAATTGTATTGAGATTAGATATGGGATAAGTCGTTTTATTACCTGCTTGGCGCATTATGGAAATTATGTCTGAGAGTTTGAGGAGAAACTGTATTCTCGTGTTTTGGTTCATGGTAATTGACAAAGAAATATACGAAGGAAATTAACGTGAGGGGTAAAAAATGGCTCACTAAAACAATTCCCTTCCAACTCTCACCCCCTCTCCTGTTAATAAAATGGTGGGAGTTGGAGTCTCAAGACCCATGACTATTTCCTTATGAACTCCCAATCCCTCTAACTAAACAATAGATTTAAAATCTCGTATCCCTTCAATTCCCATTCCATAGCTCTAATTATCCCAATCAAACAATAGATTTGAAGTATCTGGTTCTCTGGTTGTTGTACTCCCTCCGTATTTTTTGAACTAAAAAACGTTTATACTTTGGTACAGAAGCAGCTGACGGGGGATCCCTCGGTCCCGTTATATGTATCACCAAGGAAGAATAATCAGAGACCTAAAGACATCTCCAAACGGTGACCCCAAAATTATCTATCGTATCCGTCTGCGAACTGGGGATCTGATCCCTGGCATAGATGCGGGAGACCGCCATCCAACATTGTCCTCGTATATTTGGCCAATAATTAGATCTAACCAGACGAAAATTGATAAAGTCGGGCAAAATTCATTGAAGTTCGGACATAATTTTGACAGTTTAATAAAAAAACTAGAAAAAAAAATCTAAACCCTATACCAGACGACCACCTCGTACGCGTGACTGTCCTGCCCTGCCGCACCATCGTCGTCCCTCCAGCGGCGAAACACCACCGAAGGGCCGCAGCAACCTTGTTCGACGGCTGCATGCCGCTCGCGTAGGAGCCGCTCCACCTCCTGTTGCGCTGTGCAGAGTGTCGCCGCGGCCACTGCCGACGTGGCCTTCGGAGCCCTGGTGGCGACCTTGCTGCGACCGGCGTTGGCAGAGCAGTCACTAAGTGACCACTCCTCGCCAATCTCGAGCTCGCCGTCAAGGAGGCGGCGGCGCTTGGCGGCCATCTCAGCGGTTGTGACGGAGCTGTCGAGGGCCCACGCGTCGGCAAGATTGGCATATAAAAAGATATGTTCGGCCATGTACGAGATTAGTTTTAGTTTGTTTTCAGAGTTATGAAATATACAGAAAAACGTCCGAGTTAGGGACGACCATATCTTGTATCATCTGTGATTTTCCATCGTGAAAATTTATTAGCGACGGAGGGTTGATCATCACATCGACACCTATGTGTTGATTCAAGAGGATCATTATTTTTATTCATGTATTTTCGTACGCGGGTGAAAATTGTTCTTGAAGGTTGCGAGGAGGAACAAAGAGACGGACTGCTCATCAAACATCGCCGTGAAAGATCGGGCCGTTTTCACTCACGAAATAGTGTCTCGCTAGTCCGTGCTTCATCATAGATCATACTTGGAGTTCCTCGAACGTTGATGACGATCCTGCAAACCGCCCTCGAATAATCCCTCGAACAGAAAATCGAAAGCACGGTCTCTCTACTTGGTTGCAAGCGTACGATCTTCACGATCCGCTAGCGCTTCACCGTCCAGAGCTAATCATCGCTGGAGAATTGGAGGGAGGAGTTTAGAACCACACGGGACTTTTAATTATAAGGATTAGAGATGGTTAGGGCTCGCTCTAATTAGTCAAAAAGGACCAACTAGAACGTGTACTAGATCAACTAGAGGAGGCACCAAAACTTGTATATCCATATGGTAGAAATCCTCTAGTATATATAGGTTAGAGGGGAGGGAGAGGGCAGCCACCAAGGTGGGAGAGAGTCCCTTTTGGTGCGCTAGCCTTGGGGGGAGTCCCACTCCTTCCCCAAGTAGGATTCGAACACCCCCCCCACACACACACAAGGAAACGGGGGGCGCCACTTCCATATGGGCCTATCTAGCCCATATTTCCTTCCACCTCTTCACCTTTTAAGGCCCGTTGATATTTTAATTAAATATAAAATGTTCTAAATGTTTTCATACGATTATATATATAATTTAACATCTCCGGAAATATTATATTTTGCACCTATATATAATTAATCAGTAATACTCGGTATTACCCGATACTCACCGAAACCCTTCCGGTGACCCTGAAACGCTTCCGGAACCTCTTGGAACTATTCTGGATATTCATGAAACAATTTCATGAATATATTCTCATCACTCTCGTCCCGCTAATACTCAGTAGATCGTGATTACCTTAAGCTTGTGACCCCGTAGATTCGGTAAATCATAGACATGAACGAAAACCCTTCGTTTAATGACTGCTAGCAGAACAGTGGACATCCATATCGGTCCCTGCGATTACACGAATAATAACCGAGTGAACCTTTGGCTATCATGTGATGTTCCCTTTGCTTTGCGATACTTTTCAAAACCCGGTGTGCATCGGTATCCTCCTGAGTAATCAACATGCTCACTATACTGTTGCTCCTGTTACTGGTTTTGTTCTTCTTTCTCGTGACATGTTCCGCCATCCCCGTGACGCAGTCACCAATGTCTAGCCAGACCCGTCACACCAAGAGGTCCCTTATGAATTTCTCTCCATCCTCAGAGGAGCAAATCCCACTCTCAAGCTATCTGGTCACTTTGTCAAACTTTCTGGTGAGCCTGAAAGTTATCGTTATGATCACCTTGTTACAGATTGTGTTTGAGCAACCCTAGAGCCCACTGTCCGGTAGGAAGTGACCGAGACACTCTCATGGTCTGAGGAACTAAAACACATGCTAACGCTCTGTGTTATAACAGATGATTTTAGATGATATAATCACATAGTATAACAGACAAGTATTGGGTCGATTCAATATGACCATTCTTCTAACGTCATACCCTCAATGTTGTTCTAGGACTATCTTTACACTTAACGATATCCTAAGATCCGGAAAAGTTATCACCAACAACACTTAAGCCGGTCTTAGAGGCGAGACTGGGAACATATTGTTATTGTTTATCATTTCACACATGCATATGAGTTTTCCACTGAATCGCATATTCTAGGATCATAGCAGTTATAGCATGAAATATAAAATCTAAATTATGAATAAAAATATATAATAATACAATATTATTGCCTCTAGGGCATATTTCCAACAGTCTCCCACTTGCACTAGAGTTAATAATCTAGTCGCATGGTTTTCAAACACATATGGCTTATCTGGTGTTGCTCATACTTTGCTTGTGGTAGAGCCTTTGTCATTCTTTTGACATATTCAAAACTCAGTAAT